ATAAGTGTTTGCACAACAAAGAAAGTGTGTTCGTATTATCTCTGGGCTCTCTTATAGAGCAGACTGTAGAAACTCCTTTAGAGTTTTAAAAATTTTAACTTTACCTTGTGTATACATTATGCAGTGTCTGTTGCACATTAAACAAAATCTTAGCCAATACAATGCGCATGTAGATTTTCACAATTATCCCACCCGATTTAACAATAATATTATACCAGAATTTAGCCGTCTTGAGAGATCCAGAAATGGTTCAAGATATTTAAGCCATAAAATTCTACAACTTAGTGCCAGCTAGAATAAAAGCTCTCAATTTTCATCAGTTTAAGGCAAAAATTAAGAGTTACCTTATAGTGAATGCTTTTTTTTACATATGAGGAGTATTTTACTTCCAATTTTAATTTGTTGTAATTGTTAACAGTATAATTTAAAACAATGTATCTATGTTTTGTGTTTATATTTATGTGTGCATATTAACTATATTGACATTTACTTTAGTTTATTTGACTTGTAAAAACTACTTTTGTATTAATTTATTACCAATAAACCATCTATCTATTTATCTATCTATCTATCTATCTATCTATCACTGTGACTATTGTAGGGTTAAAAAAGTTGAAGTTTTGATTTCTCGTCAAGGAACATCTGCATATTTCTAGTACATTTTATGTCATAGAGTTATTACAATTTACAGATTTTGTAGAACTTTTAGTTACACGTTTCGTTGTTCTAGAGTTGCATGCTAGTTTTTTTATTTTATTATATTGAAAAAATACGATATTATTAAATATATTTGTATATTCTCAACCAACTGTATTATATCGAGAATAAACCTTTAAATATAACATTTAAATGTAGTCAATATATTTGTATTTCTTAAAATAAAAGTAAAATAAATTCAAATTTCTTACACGGATATTTTTCAGACAATATACTAATGGCATGCGATTGATATTTATTAATACCGAACTTTCCATCATATTCAATCGTGACAGCAGAAGTCTGTTTTAATTCCATAATAAATCATCTAGAAAACCAGAAAATCCTATGATGCTTTTTCGCTATAGGATGTATTTAGTTTAGATACTTATTTGTCGCTTAATATATCAAGACCCATATGTCATAACAACATTGGGCAAAATATTTTTTTAAATATAAATATTGTTGGTACATCCCAGATATGGTTGTAATATTTTCTAAATAATAATCAAATAAAAAACTAAAGAATAAGACAATATCAAGTACTATAAAAACAAAACAAAACTAAAAAATGAAACATGCACATAAATTTAGAAAATTAATGGAGTGTTGACAGTAGTTGCATATTAAAGCAATTTATGGATGTATAATTGGTTGTCGTTTAGAATTCGCTAAATCGATAAATAATCAATGATGCAAATAAAGATAATTTGTCGTAAAAGTACTCGATCGTGACAGTACTTTAACAATGTCAACTGGTAAAATAACAATTGCCATCCAGGTTAGTATTTTATGACATTGTATGGTGAAATTTTTTTATATTTATTTATTTTTTTATTAAAAATTTTTGAATATGTGAAAATATACCGAAAAAGAACAAAGACTGATATTAAAATTATTATATTATCTTCAATTAGAAAAAGGGGCTAAAACAACTTAATTACCAGTTTCTATATCAATAATAGTATTTTAAATATTCTATGTTTTAGCCTGTTCTCGAAGCGTTAACAGTATCGTTACCAACGGTAAGACGATTATCAAATGAAGGTATTGAATCAGATGCTCTAGCTATTCCGTTCTAACAACTAAATGTTCTGACCAACAAAAATTAACCTTCGAGTGGTAACGTACGGTCCCTGACACCAACGTAGTAGATTTTTCGCGCTAAAACTTAAATGTGCATATGTTTTGTCCGCGCGGCCAGGTAGCTTTTGAGTCCTTATCGCGCTATTCAGTTTTGAATTTTAGTGTAACAAACACAAAAATATAAGAACTAACCATAACCTTGCAACTAACCTCACATCTATTTTAAAAGAAGACTGTAATTCGGTAAATGTTATAAACTTTTTAAATAATGTTGGTCTATTTCATCAGTTGTAATTGTAATGTAAATATATTTCTAGAGCGATGTAATGTAACTTATGTCGCTAATAACTCTTAGTAATTAATGCGAGTCATGCAAGTAAATAAAACAGAAAAAAATATAATATAAAATACAAACTTATTTTTATTAGACGAAAAGAAAAATAATAATTCTCGTAGCTGTTTTTAACTCGTTCATGCATAGTTGTATTATATACATATACATACAATTATTATAACACTAACGCCCAGTGATCTATTTATAGGACCGGTCAAAATTCAAATAAATAATTACTTAATAATGTAATAAATCACAATATTATCAATATTTCGGTATAAGTAAAATTTTGAAAGAAAAAATAGTTTGAAATCAAATAGACTACATTATGATAGCAAGGAGGTATCGTAATGCTGTTAAATGTACTAAGATGTACCCAGGAGCTGATATAGGCTCAGATCATAACCCGGTAGTTACTGTGATAAAGGCGAGACCAAATAAGATTAGAAGACCACACAGAAAGGCACTAGATTTAAATAAACTTAAAAAAATATATATACGACAAGAAACTGGAGAAGAAATAAATGAAAACCTCCGTTCAGTGCAGCAACAAATTAACGATACAAATAACGTTAACCAAAAATTAAAGTACATAAATACAGCTATACAAACAGCAGGAAAGAAACATCTTACAAAAACAACAACAAGAATAAGGGGTGGATGACACAAGATATACTAGACTTGTTGGAACAAAGAAGAAAGATGAAGAATTTCCCAGACAAATACAAAGAAATAAATAAACACATAAAAAAGAGAATAAAAGAAGCCAAAAAGGAGTGGATTAAAGAACAGTGTGAAGAAATAGAAACCTATGAGAAAAAGTACGATGCGTTCAATATGCACAAAAAAGTAAAAGAGATAACAGGAAGCATAAAGAAATGCCAAATAGGTAAACTTAAAGACAAAAATGGAAATCTTATTGTAGATCTAAAAAATAAAATAAAAAGATGGTCAGAATACCTGAATGAATTATTTCAAGACGATAGAAACAACTTAACTCAGATGATCAATGCAACTGAGCCAGACATATTGAAAGAAGAAGTAGAATACGCAATAAGAAACGCTAAAAATGGAAAAGCAAATGGACCTGATGAAATTCCTACAGAACTGTTGAAGCTTTTGAATGATAAATCCGTAACCATAATATTACATCTATTTAATACAATATACAGTACTGGTATAATACCTCAAGAATGGTTGCTGTCTACGTTTGTCACCATACCGAAGAAAACTAAGGCAATGCAATGTTCAGATCATCAAACAATCTCCTTGATGAGTCACCTGTTTAAAATATTTCTTAGAGTCATCCACAACCGAATCTATCAAAAGTTAGATATCAATATTAACGATGCACAGATGGGATTCAGAAAAGGATTAGGTACAAGAGAAGCTCTTTTTGCCTTAAATGTTTTAGCACAGACAAGTCTAGATGTTAACCAAGAGGTGCATGCCTGCTTTATAGACTTTGAAAAGGCCTTTGATAAAGTACGCCACAATCAACTCAAAGAAATCCTGGAAGGTAAGAACATTGACACCAGAGACATACAAATTATATTAAATCTGTACTGGAATCACAGAGCTAATATAAAGGTAGAAGACCAAACATCGGACTAAATAGAAATACGTAGAGGAGTACGACATGGTTGTATATTGTCACCGCTTTTGTTTAATATCTCAATACATGACACTAGTATCACAATAAACGGTACCCAACTTGAAAAAGTAAGTGAATACAAATACTTGGGAACCCTCATTAATGAAACAGGTGACCAAAATCACGAAATAAAAAGACGTATTGAAATTGCCAGGTCTACCTTTATAAAATTGAAAAAATTATTTTGTAATCATGATATTAGTATTCATCTACGAACTAGAATGTTAAAATGCTATGTATTCAGTACTTTGCTTTACGGTGTTGAGGCATGGACTCTTAAACAGAGGAATATTAAAATCTTGAAAGCTTTGAGATGTGGTGCTACGCCGTATACTAAAAAAGTAGGGTGGATAAAATTACACATAAAGAGGTAATGCGCAGAATAAATAACGATTCAGAAGTTATTATGAATATAAAAAAGAGAAAACTTGAATACTTAGGCCACCTGATGAGAGAACAAAAGTACACGTTCCTACAAAATATAATGCAAGGAAAGATCCAAGGACGCAGAAATCCAGGCCGTAGAAGAATGTCCTGGATGAGAAATTTAAAAGAGTGGTTTGGCTGTACCACTAACGAATTATTAAAAACAGCAGTTAATAAAATTAGAATCGCCATAATGATATCCAATCTCCGATAGGGGAGGCACTCAAAGAAGAAGAAAATTTTGAAATTCGAAAAAAAAATTTGGGCGTTAATAAGTTTTAAGTAAAGCACTTGAAACATAAAATATGGAAACACATAACACCAATTTAAAGCCTTGTACTTTAGAATGTATGTAATATGTCTAAATTACCACTGGAGTGAGGAATTTAAAATTAAACGTAAAAGAATGAGAACAAAAAACCAAATATTTAGGTTAATTTAAAAAAAATGGAAAACGATTTTTAAACTTAAAGTGTAAAAGTCAGAAAACTATTACATCGTTGGTTAAATCTTAATAAATTTATTAATAAAAACTTAAAACTCCCCAACAAAGTAGCTTTAGAGCCATTTATTAAAACAACACTTTTCACAACATTTTTGCATTTTACACAACAGTGTACTAACCGTTAAAGAACTTAGTGCATGTTTTTGTTTAATAGAGCTTTATTAGAGTAATACAGATTAATGCTATTAAAGAAGAAAAATAATCATAACATCATATTTTTTAAAGCAACTTCTAATAATTGCTCTGTAATAGAAAAATATGAAGTTAAAACTAATGAGACGATCAACTTAAAAACTTACGTGCGTGCGTTTAATAGCTGAATAACAATATAACGAAAGTCAATCTAAACTCTCCGCGCTACTTTTATACACATTTTCGACTAGGTATGTACTATGTAGAAAATACAAGTTCCATTCACTAGAATTTTATGCGTATCTCATAAGGAACATTACTCTCGAGAGAATTTGCCAAGGATTTAGTGGGTTCGCACTTTCAACTATTTTACTACGTCTGATTAAAAATGCTCATTCAAATCGTTATATATTTTTTTTATTAGGCTTTTAACATTAGCTTTGTGTTTATGTTCCACTTTCAATAGGTGGTAGATGCGTTCACGCACATACAAGTACTAGCCTTACGTAGTAACCGATGCTACAAATAAAATATTTTTTGAGACAGCCAAAGTTTTAATTAATTGGTTACTCAATACAATTACTTGTTTTTGTTTATTGTATACATATATAGATAAAGCTATCGATGGCCTAGAAGCAATACCTCGTAAGTGCAGCTGTCAGAATTTTGTTGTTATAAAAAAATCTTTATATATTATTAAATATAAATCTTCTATAAACGAAAGTTGGTCATAAAAGGGAATCTAAAATTGCATTCCAAATGCCGTTCATCATGGCCAAAATTCATCAAGCTGTTTGCTTTGCAAGTTTTAGAAAGCACGGTGGCTGATATTTGAATTCAATTTCGCCAGGTAGAAATCGTTTGATTTCTCTTTTTGTTCTTAGATGGCGTAGTTACGTCTGTACATAGTTAATTATGATAACTATAGTCTACGACGGAAAAATATTTTGTTTCGATACGGAGTAGTGGCTATACCATACTGAGGAGACCTAAAGAGGTCGAAATAGGTATATGCGGCTTGTCGCTGCTCTTTATCGAATCAAAATCTAATACAGTCATTATGTTTTATTTCTTTACTAAGAAATAAAACGTTTGGAGTACTAGAAATTGAATTCACTACGAATTTTGACTATGATGAACGACATTTGAAATGCAACTTTAGATTCCCTTGCCGATTTATTCATCAAGCTGTTTGCTTTGCAAGTTTTAGAAAGCATGGTGGCTGATATTTGAATTTGATTTCGCCAGACAGAAATCGTTTGATTTTTCTTTTTGTTAAAGGTTTTTGTTTTTCTTAAAGGCATATATTCTTAATCAAAATCTGTTTTGTAATATATAACCCCTTCTGGTGTATATTTTACAGCCTTTATTTCGAAACCTTAGCTCCAGGCGACCTTATAGAAGAAAACCAGTGGAAAAGTGAATGATTGTAATTTTTTAAAAAATCGTGATGTAAATATTTTGCTTCTAAGAAAAAGGGATCTTTGCGCGCATTCTTGGTTATTGATTTATATTCCCCTGGTAAATAAATCTCCCTTTTATACAGATTCCGTTCTATTAGACTGTAAATATTATCGCATTACATTTGCGTTTGGCGCTTGACGAGAAATTTTTGTTCTACTTTTTTTATTTGTAACAGAAAAGGTCAATGCGGAGCATTTGACAAAATCGAATTTCGATTTTGGTACCCACAACCGTCGTTGCATATTATTATAGCTAAACTATACCTACTAAATTGCGTTTGCAGATAATCTATTATGCAAGTTACAAAACTTGAAGCCAAAAGCCTTCCTTCACGTTCATGCCACCAAAAATTTGTTGTTTGATGCGTTGCCATATTGTACATTGTAAAATTATGTACCCTAAGTACTTAAGTTTTTTTATGATAAAGCATTAAATCATACATTCTGGAACATAGTTCAATAGTTTAAAGGTCTAGAGTTTTGAGCTTCTACTTTGTCAGTTTTCTTTTCAATTTTTGTTCGGTTTTTAGTTTTAAATCAGCAACATATATCGTACAATAGTCCTTCACAACATTCAACGTACGTTTTGTACAACTGTGATTTATTTTTAACTGTAGTATCTTTGATATAATTTTTTTGGTATCATCCTTTCATAATGTGAAGGTAGTTTTGGCAGCTTGTTAAACCAGTTTTAAAAAACCTTTTTTTTTCTAGCGAAACTTAGGTTCTCTTGTTCTTTTGTCATGTATTTCCATCGAATATGGAATCATTCGATTCTCTTCAGTATTGCACCAGCTTCTTACACTTCACTCTCTAACACAAATGGTATTTAGGAACATCTTTTGACAGTGACTTTGAGTGGATAACAATCAATTCTGAAATAATATTTAAAGCCATTCGATTTTCTTGTCTCTTTATTTTCAGTTTTTCTCTGTTGTTTTCTTTTTTGGTTGTGTCGTCTCAACATTATTAACAGCAAACATTTTTACAACATATATTTCCAAGAATTTATTATATTTATTGCAAAAATAAACTTTTGTTTTTTCGCATTACACCTTTCTTTAATTCTCCTTGATTTCCTGATTTTTTGTGTTTCCATTTTTTATTTGTTCTAGTGAATCCAATGTATTCTTCTTCTTTCATTCGCTTGGTTCTAGTTTTATTTCTTTTCCATTTAGTTATGTCCAAATCTATTTTCTTTCTCCTTTTTTTGCTGTTCCACTAGATATAACTTTTGAATCCGAGTCCTCCATCCAACTGTTACCACTATTTCCTAAAACATAATCCGTATCGCTTTTTTATTGTTTTTTCTTCATTGTTGCATTTAAACCTCAAACTAGTAATTACTCCTTTCCTTGTATTGACTGTTTTGTCGAGTTGATTGTCTAATACTTCATTTTTTATTATTTTCTACCTTATCTCAAAAGTTGTGATCAATAATGTGCAAAATTACGCCATAAATAAATAAAAAGTTTATTACTCAATAAATAAGATTTCAATTCAGTAATGTATTATTCAAATAATTAAAGTTTCTTGAAATTAATTTTTTTAAAGATTCTGCTTTAAGGGTGTGGTTTATAAGTGTTAAAATTTCACAATGAATCAAAAATTATAACATAAACAATAAAGAAACTATTTGGGTAATATTAATATGTGATTTTATTTTTCAGAAATATAAAAAATCAGAAAGCGAAGGTAATAGTTGATTTTTACCACTGTACTAAGCTGGGTACTTTTAGGCATGCTTGAAAGTGTGAATAGTAAATAACTATTTTATTTTATGTAAAAATTTTGCTACATACAAATATAAATATGTGTATATTTGAATAAAAATCATCCCACCAGTCCAGTCGATCACCAAAAATACCATACATTTAATTTTTGCGGTTGCTGTGTATACACCTCGTGGAAAATCCTAGGGTTTTATTCAGACCAATAACGGCAATTATGAGAATTTACAGTTCCATTTATAAAAAAAAACTGCATTTGTCGGAAAAAATTGTGCAGGCAATAACTTTATTATTAAAGTTACAAAAACTTCTTCTTCTTCATGTACCATGTCCTTTCAGAACGTTGGTTACCATCATAGCTATTTTAATTTTATTCACTGCCACCCTAAATTGCATGCTTGTATCTACACCATACCAATCTCGCAAGTTCTTCAACCATGAGGTTCTTCTTCGGCCTGGACTGCCTTTGCCTGCTATTTTTTCTTGCATGATATTTTGTAGCAATCTATATTTGGGACCTCTCATTCCATGTCCATAATATTCCAGCTTTCTCTGCTTGATGCTTTTTATGATCTCAGTGGTCTTGCTGAGACGTTCAAGTATTGTAGAGTTACGAATCTTCTCCACCCAGGAAACTTTTAAAATTCTTCTATAGCACCACATTTCGAGAGCCCCAAGGCGATTTAGATCGATTTTATTCACAGTCCAGGACTCGACAGCATAAAGTAAGACCGAGAACACGTAGCAGCGAAGTAGGCGGATCCTTAATGCCAATTTTAGGTCTCTGTTACATAACACCTTGGACATCCTTCTAAAAGCAGCTCTAGCCTGCTCTATTCTGGATCTAATTTCGCCGTGATTTTCTGCATTACAATTTAATTACTGTCCCAGGTAGACGATTTTATCAACTTGCTCAAGTTTGGTATTATTTACATATATAGACGGTTTTATATTATGTTGTTTACTTATTACAAGTATTTTGGTTTTCCTTATGTTAAGATCCAGACCTGACTCCCTACAACTCTCAACGACACTATCAAGTAGTGTTTGCAGATCTTCTTGACTAGAAGCTAGGAGTACTGTATCGTCCGCATATCGCAAATTATTGATGACTTCGCCGTTCACAAGTATTCCTTCTTGTTTTTCAGAAAGTGCTTTTCTGAAAATTCTTTCGGAGTAAACGTTAAAAAGCAGAGGTGCAAGAGGCATCCCTGCCGTACTCCTCTTTTAATATTAAGAGCTTGTGATACCACACCATCTACTAAAACTGATGTTGTTTGATTCCAATATAAATTTGCAATTATTCGAACATCTCTGCCGTCCAAGCCAATGTCTTTTAGAGCTTCGATCAATATAGAGTGCTTAACACGATCAAATGCCTTTTGAAAGTCAATAAAACAACAGTATATGTCTACAGATATATCACGACATCTTTGAGCAAGTACGTTCATTCCAAACAGTGCCTCTCTCGTTCCAAATCCGTTACGGAAACCAAACTGAGTGTCATCCAGGTATTCCTCACATTTATTGTAGATACGACCATGTATTACCTTCAGAAAAATTTTCAATAAGTGGTTTAACAAACTGATGGTTCTATACTCAGCACAGGTTTTTGCTGTTGTCTTCTTAGGTAGAGCTATAAACAGTGAGTTAGACCAACCATTAGGTAGTTGTCCGCTGGTATAAATGGTATTGAAAAACGAAGTTATAGCCTCTAAAACATTGCTATCCTTTATAAGCTTATATATTTCAGTTGGAATTTCATCAGGACCAGTCGCTCTGCCATCTTTTGATGATTGTATGGCCTTTATAACCTCACAGCGTGTTATTAGGGGTCCGTCGCAGTTAGTAATATCGGGAGGTGAACTACTCCTATCGTCTTCGAATAGGTTCGTGACGTAATTTTCCCATTCTTTAAGTTTGTCCTCTACTTAGAATATTACTTTACCATTTTCATCCTGTATCAATGCATTTTGTTTCTTATTGAAGATACCAGCCGCT